CCCCCCCCCCGCCGGCAGGCGCCGGGGCTCTGGGAGCAGTGATGCCCCCGAGGAGCAGCAGCCCCGTGGGAGGGGAGGGATGCGCCCGAGCTCGCGTGAGCTCCCCCAGCGCGTCGGGGCCCAGCTCCGCCCAGCACGGCTGACACCCGGAGCTAATTTTGGAGCGTATTTATTAACATTTTATCATGAAACGTGCATGAAATACTCACCCGCTGTGACAATGCACTTTATCACAAGGGAAGCCTTAAATATTTAAGAGGTGTTTTGCAGTGTCAGTGGCAGGGAGGGGTTACATCTGACTCACAGCACAACACTAAAACCCGAGCGCAGCTAATCCCTGCTGCGGTTCTCAGCTACCTACCCCGTCCTCGCAGGGCGGCGAGGAGCTGCTGTCTACAGGAAGGTCCCCGGGAATGCACGGCTTTCCGGCTGCCTTTGCCCCATGCCTTTCCCCTTTCCACGCTGTTTGTGCCGCCCACCTCTGCGCCGAGGGTGGAGGGCAGCTCCATGCCCCATTAGGCGACCAGAGGAAATAGCCTCATCTTATTCTCTTTATTCTCAAGAGCACGGAAATTTAAGGAGCAACTAGAACAGACACGTGGCTTAACAAAAACCTAAACAGACCATGAAGCTCCTTATCCGCAATCCTATTAGGAGAGCGGAGTCATTTAGAAGGAGCCTAAGTTTTCAGTGCAGCCAGCCAGGAGAGGGATGATGGGCTACAAAGCCCTTCAGAAGGACCTGTTAGAAGAATAAGCTTCAAGTGGATCAGAGCACACCAGCACCGTTTTCTGCTGTGTTGTGAGAATAATTTGTGCCTAAAGCCGCAAGATTAAGGAGGTGCTGAGTGGAGTTTTTAGGCCATTACAACACTGAGTCCGTGGAGCTGCTGTCAGAGAGAAGGTAAGCTCTGACCCAGCCAAGCTGCTGGGCTTGGCCCACCTACGCCTCTCGCCACGCGTTTAAAGCTCCGGCTCACGGTTAGGGGAGGCACCTTCCCGATCTCGCCGTAACAGGACAGGCAGCCGCCAGGACGAGGCGTTGGCCGGCAGTTCACAGCCTAGCGGCCACTGGGTCACCAGAGGAACAGCTGCCGAACATCTCCTGGGAGGCGTAGGTCAAGTAGAGAAAGCCATCCTCGTCCTTGTTGTCACGGTACAGCTCCTGCATGGTGACCGTCATGTTCGGCAGCCCTTTGTTGTTCACCAGCAGGTAGAAGGTCTGGGAGGAGGCCAGGCACAGACGGGTCCTGGTGGGAGGAGGGCAAAGACAGCGCACAGGTGAACATCTCATGGGGCTGAAGGCAGCTGATGCAGCAGGGCCTTCTAGGAGGGCATCGCTGGGGCAGGCAAGCCTCCACGCTTTAGGTTGCACAGCAGGGATTTGCAAAGCCGGAGCAGCTGAGGCCCCTGCTCAGCACCTGGGGGCCGTCTGCAGGACTGCTGCCCGTTAGATTTAGCAAGCTGGGAGTTCCCGCTACCGGCCCCTCGCCAAGATCGCTAGCCACTGCTGCGACCAAGTGCTGCTCGTTTGCATTGCTGCTAACAGCCTGGCTCTCATCAGCTGTTTGTCTGCGCTCGTGCCCACGGCCAAGGCAGCGCAGCAGAGAGCCAAAGGCTCAGGAGCTGCTGCAGGCCCAGGAAGAGCTAATTGTCACCTTTTATCCCAGCAAGGGCAAGAGAGCCTTGCCATAAGGTACTCGGTGCGTTGGCAGGCAGCTGCTCTTCGCTGGCAGCCTGCTGCCCCAGGCTGGCTGCGTCAGTCTAAACGCTCGCCTACTGGCAGGGCAGATGTCTAAAGCAGCTTAAGCTGGTTTCCAAGCCAAGCTGGTTTAATGGACCAGCTGCAGGCGGACTAGGTGTTTGCACAGAGCTGGTGCAGCAGAGGGACAAGCCTTTCTGCGGGAGCGCGCTGGGAAGAGCCCCCTTCCCCGGCAAGCCTGGCTCCTTACCGCAGGGTGATGGCGAACTGGGACAGGGGCAGGTCCTGGGACACCAGAAACTTGGTCCTACTCAAGGCGGGCAAGGTCTTCTCCTTCTGGTAGCGCTCCACCACCACCTGCACCAGGGCGAACAGGCTGGAGGGAGCGGGGGGCCCCGGGGCGAGTCCTTACCGCAGGGTGATGGCGAACTGGGACAGGGGCAGGTCCTGGGACACCAGAAACTTGGTCCTACTCAAGGCGGGCAAGGTCTTCTCCTTCTGGTAGCGCTCCACCACCACCTGCACCAGGGCGAACAGGCTGGAGGGAGCGGGGGGCCCCGGGGCGAGCCAGCCACGGCAGAGCCCCCAGCAAAGGGCGGGCGCTTCGTCCGGGCTGTCACCTTGTGGCTTCATCTCTTAACTTTTTTGGGGGAGGTGGCGCATTCTCCAGCTGCCGCGCCGCCGGGGCCGCTCTTGAGCGAGGGGGACGTATCCCCCCACCCCGGCCACCAGCGGGGCAGGGCCGGGCCTTAC